AAATTGTACCAACTGAAAATAAATCAGTGCAGGACACGACTTCTAAACCCTGTGGGCAACCATCAATGGTGTCTAAGTTTCCCGGCTTGGTAGATGCAACGGCCGAGTTTGTGAAACAACACGGATTTTCTGCTCAATGCCAAAGAAGACCAGAGACTGGCTACTCCTCTGGCGTAATAACAGTGGCAGAAATTCGAGAGCACCTACTGAAAGAGGTTCCTGGATTGAGGGAGCATGGCATATCTCTAACCACGACACGAAGATTATTCCAAGCACCAAACAAAGGGTCGCCAGTCGACGTTACCATTGTCTTGTCGATGCAAGAGTTGCTACAAAATCAAACCGCTACCGTGAGTTTCATCCAGATAGCCATTACCTCTTCAGCAGAAACAAGCACCGCAGAGAGTTCTGTACATTATTTCAATCAGATGTATGTATTGCTAGCATGGATGACATGGCAAAAATAAAAGTTGGTGCTCCCGCAGTTTCGCGATATCATCAATTGCGGCGGCTATGCCCTACCATGGATATGCCAAATTACGCAGATCATGACTTCCTTGTGCCCAACTACTTGCTATCTGCTTCAGGTGAGTTGTAGTTTCAATGTTTAGCGTTGGCTCTTGGTGTCGTGTTAGAAACGCAGAAAATAACAACACGTGAAGCTAGTGATGCACTAACCTCGAAGTTAACGAGAAGTTTCGGACAAATAATAATATAATTAGTAAATAGAAAGTTCTTCATTGGGAAAAGTTGGAGATTATTAATGACGCTTAATTTTCTTTAGGTTACATGTTCCTCGAAGAAAAAAATGTGGCAGCACCAATTTTGGAAGAGGCTGGTGATGTACAGGTAAAGAACCATTTTCAAGACAATGCTTACGATACAACATCCGAAAAAAGTCAAACAAGTGTTGGTACAAAAAATATTGAAGATGCGTTTGGTGTAAATATTGGGACTGGAACAGCGGGGAACTTTTGGAATAACATGGTTTGCCAGTGTAGAGAACAGTTAAATATTTTAACCACAGAAAAAGAAATTTGTGACAATGTCCTCGAAGAAATCAATCACAACATCGAGTTCTACTGCCAAAAGTTTAAGATGGAAGCCAACTATATAACCGAAATGTGTAACAACATCGAAGATCAACTTCATACTTGCCAAGAACATCTGAACATAATATCAAGTGGATTGAGCAGCATCTTTCACTGCCAAGTGGTCCAACTGGATACGCTAAACAACAGTTCCAAAGTTATCGAAGGAAGATCTTGTAGCAACTATGAGTCACCGATATACTTTGGTATTTTGCCAGAAGACAGACTAGTTAAAGTGTGTCCTGTAACTTTCAAACGTGAAACGCTTGAAAAGTACAAAGATATTCCACTAATACCGGAGGATATAATATACGATGGGGTTGGGCGAGCTCATCTTAAAACGCCATACTCTGGAACTGCCAACGTTTACATACGTTCACACAAGTATAATGCTACATCTGTGGCAACACATGTTACAGATTTGTACGAAATGTTAGACCCTATTCGAGAAGAAAAATCCGTATTGATGTTCCTTGCTGATGGTGGTCCAGATTTTAACCCATCTCATATCGCAAATGAGTTATTTTACTACCGCCTTTTCAGAAAACTTGATGCTGACATACTCACGGTTATGACATATGCTGCAAGATACTCTGCTTTCAACCCTATTGAGCATCTTTGGGCTCCTCTAAGCAACCGCTTATCTGGTGTCATTTTTTCCCCATTGATTGATGATGATAAAACTGCACCTGCTCTACAAAGTGGCATTGATTCAGCCACAGTAAAGCGCAAAGAAAGCACAATATTCGATCGAGCAATGAACGATATCAAAGATAAACACTGGAAAGATGTTCTATTTGATGGATTTCCAGTCCAAACAAAAATAATTCCATGCAACAACGACAACTTGCTCTTCAACGACTACGATGACGTAAAAGCTTGCCTTAAGAGTCCCCTTCGCGATCTTCACCAATATGCCGACCTAATTAAAGAGTTCAATGAGTGCAACAAACACATTGATCGTCACCTTAACGAAATAATATTTGTTAAGTGCGATGATAGTTCTTGTTGTAATGATTTTCGATCAAAGAAAGTAAAAGAACATTTCCAAGGCATTGTTAAGTTTCCATCTCCCTCCGAAAGCAAAGAATACAGAGGACGTTTCAACACTTTCCTACAGGAGGAAATTAATCCGGAAAAGAGATTTGGAGATGAAGGTCAACACACAGCAGACAATGCGGACCTTGGTAAATGCGCCTACTGCCCAGCATTTTCTTTTAAGTCGAAAACAGAAAAAGACCGTCACCTTGGCATGTTCCACCGGAGGCAACGATTAAATGTACAGACAACTGGAAAAGCTTTCAAATGTAACTATGAAGGTTGTGGTAAAACATTTGAAAGCCAGCCATCGTTGTCGCGGCACCAAACGTCGTCGAAGCATCGAAAAAGAGATCAAGATCAACGAGGTCAAAAGCCTTCGCAGAAAAAACCAAAAATGCTGTTCACGATTGCAGATGCCTTCCGTCAAGCAGAAGGAAGGAAGAGAAGGGAAATGGTCCTAGAAGACAAAGAGGATCTATGTGCTGCTGATAACTGCATAATAAAGAATGAAGACCATGAAAATGATGTCGACTGGATCGAGTGTGGAAAGTGCGGCGCCTGGTTCCACCTGAGATGCGTTGCTCTTGACACTATGACGAAAGAGGAATTTGAGAACTTTAACTTTCTTTGCGTTAAATGTGAATAAGGATTTTTATACATTACTTCCACGAGGAGTTTGCTTGCTCGCGACGTGATGCAAAAAACGTCATTCTCTATTTACTGCTTGTTGAACACTTACCTAAGACTAATAAATCATAGGCAAATGTTAATGTTTTATATCGTGTTTTGTTTTCACACAATTTTTTAGTATATTTTTGGAATAGCTATATTATACATGCATTTCAATAATAATAAATAGCTAATGAGCACAGTAGTTATAAATTTTGATACTTGGAGCGTTCAAACCCCATCTAAGTTTTGAAATATTCATTACGTCACACTTGACGTTTTCAAGGGTGGGTGGGTGGGTTGTCATAAAAACGTCAATTTGACGTTTTGCGTGGCAA